CTGACTTTATTTTAAATTTTTCTTTTTTACTTTATTTTATTTATTTTGGAGATTTTTTTTTATTTTGGGAATATTCTTAAATTTTGGGGTTTTTTTCAAATTTTGGGGACATTTTGGCTACTTTTTTAGTATTTTTTTTTTCTAAAAATCCAACTTTTTAAAAATTTTTTCACTTTCTTTTCCGGGAATTTTTTATTTTTTTCCCCATTTTCTCCCCCAAACCCCATCTCCGGGCCCCGGCAGGTGCGGAACGAGTTCTACAAGGACACGCAGGGGGTGCTGCTGGTGTACGACGTGGGCTCCAAGGAATCCTTCGACTCGCTCGACTCCTGGTTGGCCGAGATGAAACAGGAGCTGGGCCCCCACGGCAACATGGACAACGTCGTCTTCGTCGTCTGTGCCAACAAGGTCCGGGATTGGTGGAGAATTCCAGCCCCAATTCCGATAAAATGGGCTGGGATTGGTGGAGAGTTACCGGGAATTTCCACCCGATAAAATGGGCTGGGATTGGTGGAGAGTTACCGGGAATTTCCACCCGTTAAAATGGGCTGGGATTGGTGGGGAGTCAACGGGAATTCTTGTGCTGATCCCATTAAAATGGGCTGGGATTGGTGGAGAATTCCCGCCCCAATCCTGTTAAAATGGGCTGGGATTGGTGGAGAGACAACGGGAATTCCTGCCCCGATCCCGTTAAAACAGTCTGGGATTGGTGGAGAATTCCCGCCCCGATCCCGTTAAAAATGGCTGGGATTGGTGGAGAGACAACGGGAATTCTCACCCATTAAAACGGTCCAGGATTGGTGGGGAGAGACAATGGGAATTCTCACCTCGATCCCGTTAAAATGGTCCGGGATTGGTGGAGAGAGACAGCGGGAATTCCCGCCCCGATCCTGTTAAAATGGGCTGGGATTGGTGGGGAGTCACTGGGAATTCCTGCCCCAATCCCGTTAAATCGGTCTGGGATTGGTGGAGAGAGCAACGGGAATTCCTGTCCTGATCCCATTAAAATGGGCTGGGATTGGTAGAGAGACAACGGGAATTCCCATCTGTTAAAACGGTCCGGGATTGGTGGGGAGGCAACGGAATTCCCGCCCCTATCCCGTTAAAACGGGCTGGGATTGGTGGAGAGAGACAATGGGAATTCCTGTCCTGATCCCATTAAAATGGGCTGGGATTGCTGAAGAGACAGCGGGAATTTCCAAGCATTAAAATGGGCTGGAATTGGTGGAGAGACAACAGGAATTTCCATCCTGATCCCGTTAAAATGGTCTGGGATTGGTGCACAGTCAACGGGAATTCCCATCCTGATCCCGTTAAAACGGTCTGGGGTTGGTGGAGAGTCATCAGGAATTCCCGTCCTGATCCCGTTAAAATGGGCGGGGATTGGTGGAGAGACACTGGGAATTTCCACCCATTAAAATGGTCCGGGATTGGTGGGGACACTATGGGAATTCCCGTCCTGATCCTGTTAAAATGGGCTGGGATTGGTGGACAGCCACCGGGAATTCCTGCCCAGATCCTGTTAAAACAGTCCGGGATTGGTGGAGAGACAACGGGAATTCCCGCCCTGATCCTGTTAAAATGGGCTGGGATTGGTGGGGAGTCAACGGGAATTTCCACCTGTTAAATCGATCTGGGATTGGTGGAGAGTCAGTGGGAATTCCTGTCCCGATCCTGTTAAAACGGAGCGGGATTGGTGGAGAGTAAACAGGAATTCCCACCCGTTAAAATGGGCTGGGATTGGTGGGGAGACAACGGGAATTCTCACCCTGATCCCGTTAAAACGGTCTGGGATTGGTGGGGAGACAACGGAATTCCCGCCTTGATCCCATTAAAATGGGCTGGGATTGGTGGGGAGACAGCGGGAATTCCCACCTTTTAAAACGGGCCGGGATTGGTGGGGAGTCAATGGGAATTCCTGCCCCGATCCCGTTAAAATGGTCTGGGATTGGTGGAGAGACAATGGGAATTCCCATCCTGATCCCGTTAAAATGGGCTGGGATTGGTGGAGAGTCACCGGGAATTCCTGTCCTAATCCCATTAAAATGGGCCGGGATTGGTGCAAAGTCACCGGGAATTCTCACCCGTTAAAATGGGCTGGGATGGGTGGGGATTCAATGGGAATTCCCACCCTGATCCCGTTAAAACGGGCTGGGATTGGTGGGGAGACAACGGGAATTCCTGTCCTGATCCTGTTAAAACGGTCTGGGATTGGTGGAGAGAGACACTGGGAATTCCCACCCCGATCCCGTTAAAACCATCGGGGATTGGTGGGGAGTCAGTGGGAATTCCCACCCTGATCCCGTTAAAACAGTCCAGATTGGTGGAGAGACACTGGGAATTCCCACCCGTTAAAACGGTCCGGGATTGGTGGAGAGACAACGGAATTCCCATCCCGATCCGGTTAAAATGGACTGGGATTGGTGGGGAGTTAACGGGAATTCCCGCCCCGATCCCGTTAAAACGGGCTGGGTTTGGTGCAGAGACAATGGGAATTCCTGCCCTGATCCCGTTAAAATGGGCTGGGATTGGTGCAGAGACAATGGGAATTCCCGCCCTTTAAGACGGGCTGGGATTGGTGGGGTGAGGATGGGGAAGGGGTGGGAGCTGGATTTGGGATTGTTGGGATGGGATTGGGGAAGGGTCGGGACCTGGATCTGGGATTGTTGGGGATTTTCTTGGAAAAAGCCTGGGAATTGGATGTGAGGTTGTTGGGCTTGTTGGGATGGGATTGGAACGGGTTGGGAATTGGATAT